AGAATCTGTTGGGTCATTATATCGTAAAACAAAATATTTTTTGGATGAAATTTATTATATAAATTCTCTTCTATTATAAAATTATAATAATTCAGTATTCCATCTTTGATTTCATTATTTATATTTATTAGATTAGTAGTAGTATATTCGTTTTCAACCATTGGAGAATTGTAACTAACCTGATAATGATAAAACTCTAAGTTTTCACAATATTTATTTATAAAAGATTTTAGTTGATTTTTAACTGCGAAATGAATAATTTTATATCCCTCGAATAATTTTTTAGCATCATTTTTTTCATCATCTTCGTTTTGAGCAATCATATTTAAAGAGTCAGAAACATTATTTAAGTACATATTTAACGTTATTAAAGTAAAAGGAAACATTTTTCTATTATAATTTAAATAGTCATCCAAAAATATCATAATTACATTACTGTGCGTTTGAAGTGCATTGCCATAGTTCATAAGATTTTCAATCGTTATATAATCATTATTTTTTTCTAATTCTAACAAAAATCTTTCATTATGGTTAAAAAAATTTAAAAAATAACAAGTATAAGAGCACAGTACATGTTTTTTAAATTTACTTAAGCTTAATTGTATGGATATCATCATTATGAAAAGTAAAATGTTTTTCATTTTGTCACTTATTTATATTAAGTTGATTCTCTACAGAGTTTAACTCGAAAAAAATGTCGACATTAGTTGTAATAAGAATGCTAAGTATTATTTATATGATTTTTTATATATGATCAAAATTGATTTATTTGTTTTTGGAAAAAAAAAAATTTTATTCAAGTATACATGTTCATTTTACATCTTTTTTTAATTATTTTTCTGACGTAATTACTATATTTATAGACTATAAATTAAATTGTAATATTCAAATTGTTATTTTTTTATCTCTGTCAATAACTAAAGTTTTCGCAAATACACTAAAAATATAAAAATAAATAATTAATTTTAACCAACTACAATATTCCTATTTTAGCTTCAATGCAAAACTGAAAACATTTTGATTTTATGATCATGAGCCTTTAGATTTCCATTACCACTAATTTTTGATAATTTTTTACTATTGCTAATTAGTTAAAAATATATAATAAGTATTAAAATATAATTTAAGCAGTAATATAGAAATTATTATAATGACTTCTATTTAAATGATCTATTACAATAAAAATAGTTATTTTAACGAAATTTCGTGTTTTCCTCATAAATTTCTTATTAATAGTAATTATATATGTTTCTAACCACATATCAATTTAAAAAATACAACTCTTACATCCTTATAGAAAGTTCAATTCTATTTTATAATGTTGTATTTAAGAATTTTCTTCGTTAAAGTTTATTAAAAATTTGTAAAGAAAAAAATTTTTATTGTTTTAACCGTACAAAAATTTATTTTTATATTAACTATTTTTTTTTATTGATTAGAATGCATATTCAAATTAATATTAATATTGTTAAAAATAATTACTAATGTTGTTATGAAACAAAATGTATAACTTAAGGAAATTTTTTTGTTGAGAGCAGTTTTTTCTAAATAACTAATTCTATAGATTGATAATAGATGTAACCTTATTTTTTACTCTCTGATCTACTACTATCAATATTTTATATACGTCGTAGTTTGAAAAAGCATTTAGAGTCACTTTTCACGTTTTATTTAATACATTAAAAGAAAATAAATTACTAAAAAGATTTTTCTATTCCTTTTATTTATCTTTTAATATATTTGATGTGATTTATTCTAAATACAGAATTTTTTATGAATATATACCCACACACATATATATATATATATATATATTTATTATTAAAAATCTCACATTAATCACGTGATGATGGCATGTGGTCTACTGTAATTTCAAACATAAGTATATTACAACGACAATGTAAAAAAAACAAATTAGTTTAATTTATGATAACGATAAAAATTATATTGGTCCCTTGTGATTAATATACATATTTTATATTAATAATACATATTTTTAGTTTTTTTTTTAAATTACGTTTCCTCAATATTATACGTTTTAAACGTAATTGTATTTTTCTTTTCTGTTCTTCTTGACTGTTTAAAGTTATAATTTTAAATATATTTTATACATAACGATGATATTGTATACTAATGTATCACAAACATAACTAAGAACGTAATTTATTTTTTTTTTAGTTATGGTTATTTAAACTAAAAATATATACTATTATGAACATGTTTTCAATTTATAAGAGTAAACCTGTAAATTTGCTTTTTTTTATTAAACAATATTTCAATATTCATATGAATAAATATTCGCTACGAGATTTCGCTTAGCTTGGGCTACGCAAAAGGCCCGGTGTCCTTCGAGCTATTCTTTTAGATAGGCCACTGATTCCTGTAGGAGTACACGGCCACGCCGGGTACGATATGTGTTGTGCAAATAAAATTTACCAGAATCAGTTGACCAGAAAATTATTCCCACCAGTGTCTTAAACAATAATATGATTACAAAATACTTAGATGTATTCACAATTATACTTCATAATAACTCACAAATTATAGTTCAGAACAATGTGTAGGCGAAAAAACTGCCGTATTATTAATGAAAACTAATATAAAATTTAATCATAATAGACACTTGCACATCAAAATCATTTCTTACTAAAAACTAAGTGCGTGTATTTCAAAAGAGAAACTCTTCGTTAAGTAATTTTTCAATGTTTTATTGTAGATTCAGATGTTAGGCTCATAGCGCATGGACTTTTGGTCCGATTTCGGATTTTTCTACCTTGAAACATGAAGATTACAGTGAAATATGAGCGAAATAATATATTTGTGTGTATAATCTACTACAAAAAAAGTCCGAAGAGGTTGAAACGCGGGGGAGCGGATGGGATTTTAGAGGTGTAGTTTTTTTGGATATCAACACGTTTAAGTATGATCCTATGAGGGGAGGATGTAATTTAGATATTCCAAAAAAATTATTGCGCAAGAATGTTTTAACAAATATTAAATCTGAGGGGGAAGATTGCTTTTTTTGGGCCGTAGTTGCTAGTTTATATCCGGTTCAATCTCGTGATGTGGATAAGTCAAAACCCGAATCGTATCCACATTATATCACATTGTTAAACACTAGAGGATTGAATTCACCTTGAAAGGTTACAAATATATAAAAAAAAATCAAACTAATTGGCCGCAACGACAAATTTGTAATTTTCATGGCGTTTTACAAAATTCTAAGAAAAGGGTCGCCAACCTACTGGGCGAGACAGTGTATTGTCGGACCACAGTAGGATTTTTTAAAAAAATCCTCTTTAGTATATTAAAACAATTAGAAAAAATATAAAATTAATAAATATTAAAGTTGATGTCTGTTGAGTCGTTGATAGTAGATGTACACCAAAACCTCGTGACAGTTGTCACATAACCATACAGATCAGGGATGATCTTATACAAGGCCGTTGCCCGTACCTTATAAACTAGGGGAGTTGATTTTTGAAAGGAGAAAAAACATACACGAGTCCAATGAAGATGGAACACGCAAAAAAAAGAAAAATATGATGGTTAAGTTAAATTAAGGGGACTTTATTAAGTAAAAAAAAAAAAAACAAAAAAAAAATTAAGTTACTACGAGGCAAAAAACCTCGTCTACAAATTAAAGAGGACAAAGAAAGAGAAAAAAAAACAGATATTAATTAAAAAAATAGTTACACCTACACTTTTATTATTAGAGAATACGATGAACGTCTTTGGGTACCCACCGGCTATTAATCGCGGCATTACCGCTAAGCACGGCGGGTATACGTCCCAAGTAAGCGACTGGTTTTTGGCAGTTAGACTTAGCTTGCAAGACGTGGGGACACCCCGGAATAAAGTGCACTACGTCACCACATTGTACCAATAATATATACATATCAACCATATAAAATATGATATAAAACCTATAAAAAGTCACAAAAAAATATATATAACATGACAGGTGGTATTGGAACACGCCTGCCATGTTGAGGGATCTAAATAGAAAAAAATAGGGGCACCGACAAAAAAAAAAAACTATATAAAAAAATATAAAAAAAATTCGCCATACGTGCTTATGGCACGGCGCACAAAAAAATAATCTGGCTCAAAACATTAAAACAAAACTTATACGTTACCAGCCCCTAAGGGCTCAAGAAGCTGAAGGTAGGTTTAGCCGACGCCATTAAACAAAAAATTTACATAATAAACAGCGGACACTCACGTAAAAAAAAAAATGTATATATATACAAAAAAGTTGTAGCGCACACAACAAAAATAACTACCGCTACGGACGAAAATTAGCGTCCCAGTTCCGACGATGGCTAATTTCCGACAACCCATTCGACGTTTGACCCGGCGGTCCGTTGGCGACCAAACGGCTAGCCTTTAAAATAGGGGTCAAAAAATAACTAAATACCCAGTGCCGGAAATTATTAAAAACAATTTAAATCATATGGCGACAATGTATGCGGTGAGCAGTGCAAATGACGTTCAAGATAGGAAAGGAGCGGGGTGAATGTACACACAAATGCCGTCCATGAACCGGTCTGAAGTAGTACACAGCTGACTATCTCGCACGCGCATAAACAAATCACAACACCTTATCATGATAATTTTACCGACAAACGCCGTCGCAGTCCGCATTCGGCTCAACACAAATATATATATACAAATAGACAAAAAAATAAATAGATACTTTTGTCACGTTACAACCTATATCACTCATAGATATAAAAAAATTTGAAAGAAATAATAACATAAATGTAAATGTATACACTTATGTTAATGAGAAAATTGCAGGTCCCTTGCATTTAACCGAATGTAAACGTAACAAACATGTTAATTTATTATTTTTAGATCAAAAAGATAAACCCTTCGGGCATTTCTGTTGTATTTCCAACCTAGAGCGGTTAGTATCTGCACAGCTTTCAAAACACAAATCTCATAAACATATATGTGATGGTTGCTTATTGTTTTTTTATTCAGAATCTAAATTAATGTCTCACCAGCTCGATAATTGTAAGCGCGTTAAAACGGTTCTTCCAAATCCCCCAAAAAATATCCTCAAATTTCAAAATTATCAAAACCAATTTCCTGTTGAATTTGTTATATACGCAGATTTCGAATCAATATTAACACCTATAGCTACATGCAATCCAAATCCTGCAGAATCTTTTTCAAATAAAATCAATATTCACGAACCTCATAGTTTTTCATATTTCATTAAATGTTCATACGATGAAAATTTGGATTGCATGGAGTTATACCGTGGAGAAAATTGTGCTAAGGTGTTTATCGATAGACTTAGAAACGATATAAACCGTATAAGTGACATTTATTCGAATCCCTGNAGTGACATTTACTCGAATCCTTTGCCTATGTTACCATTATCTTTAAAAGAACAACATGATCATTACATAACAACTGAGTGTCACATTTGTAACGGTGAATTACGGCATCATGAAAAGGTTTTCGATCATTGTCACTTAACGGGGAGATATCGTGGCGCAGCGCATAGAGATTGTAACCTAAAATGTTCGGTTCCCTCATTTGTCCCCGTAATTATACATAATATGCAGAACTATGACTCGCATTTTATTATATCGAATCTAGGTTTTGGCGATAGCGATGAGGGGATTGAAGGNATCTAGGTTTTGGCGATAGCGACGAGGGGATTGAAGTTTTGGCTAAAACAAATGAAAAATATATGTCAATTAAAAAAGTAATAAAAACATCTAACAATAAGCGACTGACATTGAAATTTATAGATTCGTTAAACTTTTTACCATCTTCTCTTGAAAAATTAGCTGAAACTAAATCCCCCGATCAATTTAACATAACTAGGAGAATGCATACGAATGATGATGAATTCAAGTTATTGTGTCGTAAAGGTGTATTCCCTTACGAGTATGTGACTGATATGAATGTTCTGAACGAATGCATGCTCCCCTCAAAATCTTCGTTTCGTAGTATTTTAAATATGTGTGATATATCAGACAAGGATTATGCCCATGCAAAAAAAGTTTGGGAAAAATTTAATTGTTCAACATTGGGAGATTATTCAGATTTATATTTAAAAACTGATGTGTTTCTTTTGGCTGATATATTTGAAAATTTTAGAAAAATGTGTTTAGTTAATTATGGGCTTGATCCTTGTTATTATATCACTACTCCGGGGTTGAGCTTTGATGCTATGAAACGAATTACCGGGGTAAAATTAGAACTGATGACGGACATCGAGATGATTAGTTTTATTAATAATGGGATTCGTGGTGGAGTATCACAATGCATATCACATTATAGTGAAGCTAATAATAAATATTGCGATGATTACGATTCGTCGAAACCGTCAAAATATTTATTATATCTCGATGCCAACAATCTGTATGGAGCTGCGCTAAAACAACACCTTCCACTTGGAAATTTTAAATGGTTACAACAATCAGAAATCGATGAATTAGATGTAATAAAAATAAAAGATGATAGTGATTGGGGGATTATATTAAAAGTCGATTTAGAGTATGGTGAGCATTTACATGAACTCCATTCTGACTTACCATTATGTCCTGAAAATATACAACCACCAAATTCAAAATTTAAAAAATTAATTCCAAATTTAAATGATAAACAAAATTATGTTATTCACTATCGGACTTTAAAACAGGCCATTAGCTTGGGTTTGAAGGTAAAAAAGATAAATAAAGTACTAAAATTCGAACAATCGGCTTGGATGAAGNTACTAAAATTCGAACAATCGGCTTGGATGAAGGCGTATATAGATTTGAATACGAGAAAACGTATGGAGTCCAAGTCGGCTTTCGAAATTGAATTTTTTAAACTTATGATCAACAGTATATACGGTAAATTCCTGGAAACNCAACAGTATATACGGTAAATGTCTGGAAAACCCAGAAAAAAGAATAGACGTGAAAATAGTAACCAAGTGGGAAAATATTGGTAAAAGATACGGGGCAAGTGTATTAATATCTAAACCAAATTTTGATAGTATCGCAATATTTGATAGCAATATGGCAGCCATTCATTTAAAAAAATTTGAAATTGTATATGATAGACCGATTTACGTTGGTTTTTCAGTATTGGAAATTTCCAAAACTATCATATACGATTTCCACTATAATTTTATGAAAAAAATGTATGGAAATAAGTGTAAGTTGTTGTGCACGGATACTGACTCTTNTTGTACACGGATACTGACTCTCTATTTTACGAAATACAAACAGTAGATGTGTACGATGATGTCAAAAAAAATATAGAAAAATTCGATACGTCAAACTATGACCCCAACAACGTGTATGGTATACCGCTTGTTAACAAAAAAGTTATAGGACTCATGAAAGATGAAATGGGAGGTAAAATTTTAAACAAATATATTGGGATATGCAGTAAAACATACATTATGCGCTGTGGTAAAGACGTGGGGAAAAAAAATAAGTNTGCGCTGTGGTAAAGATGTGGGGAAAAAAAATAAGGGATTAAAAAAAAGGGTATTAAATGAGACAATAAGTGAAAATGACTATTTAAATTGTATAAGTTTTCACGATCTTAAAATTTTACGTAGCATGTATGTTTTTCGTTCATACAAGCATAAATTATTCACCGAAAAAATAAATAAAATTGCATTAGAATTTAAGGATGACAAGCGGTATCAAATACCAAACAGTCACGATACGCTACCCTGGAGTCATAAAAATATANCAAATACCAAACAGTCACGATACGCTACCCTGGGGTCATAAAGATATTCCTCCTCCTCTCCCTCCCTTGGATTAAAAAAGTAAATAATCAAATTTTATGTACCTCTACGTTATTATTTGTAAATAATTATTGAATTTATGTAATATTTGTTTATTAAATGATAATTTTTAAAATTTTAACCTAAAATAAAAGAATAGATAAGTTAATTAACAGTTTAATAAAAATTATTTGTATGTATTAATTAACAGTTGTGAATTAAATTTGCATTATTTAACAAACTTATGATAAATATTTATTTATTAATTTAATAAATTAAATGTAACTTTTGAAATTTTATCTTATGTTAAATGTATAGATAAAATAAATATTAAAGTTCAAAATTATTTGTAAGTAAATGAAAAAAATTATGTAATGACAATTGATCTAGAAATTGTAATTTTTTAATTTAATGTTACTTGTAAAAAAATTAAATTATTATCAGAAAAATTATTCGTATGTGAATATAAAATAAAACATTGTAAGTTGGGTAATATACTCTTTACCATATATGTACTATAGAAATGTTAAAATATTTTACAAATGTATACTATACAATAATAAAACACACAAAACATTTGTAATCTATAAAATATTTATTAATTCATTTACAATTTTATAGGAAAAACATTTGATTTTACTATTTATATTTACAAATCTTATAAACAATTATTTTACATTATACAGTTATCGATTAACCATAAATATAATACTTTAACACGATTATTCGTACAACAATCATGATTGTCTTTATGAAATAAACACGTATCCTTTGATAAATCACAACTATCACGTAAAAGTATATCGATTCTCGGACAATCATAATCTTCCATATTGATTACTGGTTTTTTCGTAAATTTTTCGATAAACTTCTTTTTTTGCAAACCTTTAACGTAAAAATGTGTATACCGCTCACTGAGTTCATTCAGAATCGTCTGCAGGTTGTCGTAGTCGACATCACCGTCCGTATGATTTAATTTATGTTTATTACAGCATAACCACCTATTCACCCTCGACGATTTGGTTGTCATATAGAAATTTATAGGCGGTTTAAATACATAATGATCTAAACGGTCAAACGCGTACGCCGTCAGTTCTTTTACGATCAATTGACATCTGTAGTTTACGATACATTGTAAATCGACTACTAGTGACCCGTCCATTTTTTATGACTGTTAAAACTATACTAAATCTTTTTTGTGTATCCAACTGCTTTTTTTTAAACCATTCCATTTAACCAAATAGTTATCATTTTTACGACGTAAAATTTTTTCTATCAGAAACGTATTTGGAAAATTTGTTTTTTTCAACTCCTCCCGGTAGAACGTTCCGTTAATTTGCGTACCGTTTTCATCTTTCAGCACATATACAACGGGCACTGTTTGTTTTATTTTATCTATGAAAAATATTTCATTAGACCAATTCTGAGTATATCCTTTGACGAAAGCGGCTTTATTTTTACTTATACGTACTGCGTCACCAATATTTAATATTTTTCGTGTAATGTTAGAATAATTCGGTAAACGATAAAACCGTACGCTATCGGGTTGTTTGGATGCTTGCGCTGATGTTTGACGAATTGCCGAATGAATAGCATTGTTATAATCATTTAATATTTTTGNTAGCATTGTTATAATCATTTGTTATTTTTTGTAATATACTCAACCATTGATAAGATCTCGAAGCTGTAAATTTTTTCCACATGCGTTCTTTAAGCGTACGGTTAAAACGTTCGATTACGGATGCCTTCACTGCAGAATATGTAGGGAAATGATGAACACCTCTCTTTATTAGAAAAGTTTTCATCTCTTTATTGAAAAATTCTAAACCTCTGTCTGTTGTTAAATACAATGGACATCTATTACAATTACTTATTATTGATTTAAATGCTGCTGTTACTGCTCTACCAGTTTTACTTTTTAATGGTACACACCATGCGTATTTTGTATACACGTCTATTACAGTGAGAATAAAAGTATAGTTTTTATTCTTGCTAGAATACTTTTTCATATCGACGAGATCCGCTTGCCACGTGTTGTCTTTGGTAAAAGGTGTCACGATGCGTCTGGGAAATTTCTTTTTAGCTTGCGCATGTAACTCCTCTGCTATTTGGTCACCAACGGTTTTCATTCTATCACTCCGTTTTCTCTAAGTTCTTCTTCCAGGGATATTATTTCGTTATACACACCCGTATTACCTGCACGCTTTGACGCGTGTAGAATAGATAGTCGCTGCACTAATTCGTTTATATCGTCCCAGTATATGTATTCTTTTCGTTTATTTGTTACAGATAAAAACGGTAGTCCGCCACCAAGCTTTTCGTTTTCGCTTGGTTGCCGTCCGTTAAATAACTGTTTTATTATGTTTTTATATTTATATCCTTGATTCGTTTTCAATTTTCCGTTAATGTTTCTGTGTACTCTAGTGTGTATGAGACAGTTTTTATACGTTAACATATCATCAGATGTAATTAAATCGACGTTGGGTATCTTTTTAAATAACAATTCGTGTAATCCTTTCGTCAGTGGTACTTGTTTTAGAGCACCAACTTTTATGTTACCCATATGTTCATCGATAATTACCATTTTATCACCCATTTTAAAGTCTCCGTCATCCGTAACGGTTACACCGTAGACCACATCAAAGTTTGATTGTTGTTGTTGTAACGGTTTAGACAGCACGATTGTTTGATTTTTACCAATATCATCGTATTCCTCACCATCGTATTCCTCAGCATCATTCGATGTACTATTTTTAAATAAGTTTTTTGTTTGTTGTGCAATTTCTTCCAGAGGTTCAACGATAGGTTTCGCATGCTCGCGTATAAACTCTCTAGTTTGGTCCACACCACGTTTAAGTTCCAGTAATTTTTTTCTAATACTTTTTTTAGCTTTTATAATACTTGATGTTATATTCTCCTCCGACTCCGACATTTTGTATTAATAACCAAGTGTCTAAAAATCAGCTCTTTTTATATAAATATCAAAACCTTTGCGATACCTCCCCTCGTTTAAAGGAAAATCTTTCGCTATCAACAAAAATTCAAATCTTCCAGAGTTCCAGCATTTAGCACACATTTCTTTAAATTCTATAAAACTCATATCTGACGAACAATGATCATCGTATATGTGTTTTAAATTAGTTTCGTCTTGTTTGTATAAAATAATCATATTCGTATTGTCTCTGATGAGTTGTTTTGGGATACGAGAATACGTCTGCGATAAATAAAATATATCGATACCGTTGTGTCGACCTCTACAAAAATATGATTCTATGTTTTTTTGTTTTTCACATACGACATCGTCAAATATAAATATAGAATTAAAAGTTGCTGTTTCCGGTGGTATTACTTGATCGTTATCGGTGTAAACGTTTATATATACCCCTTCTACGTCATTGATAATATTCTCTAAAATTTTATACTTGCGTTGATCCGGAGTTTTTGTATAGAGGTATATGTTTTCAAATTTTAAGCCGTTTTCTTCCGTCAGTAAATTAAACATTACGTTTGTTTTACCACAATTGGATGGTCCGCAAATTATACAACGTATATTATCGGGTAGCAAGGGTCCGTGTTTCATTCGTTTCGATTCAGATTTATTCAAATCGATGTTGGAAACAGGTAACTTACACGTTTGTACTTCGAAAAACATCACGTATAAAAGATTGATACAAAACATCCACTGTTTTAAACGATGATTCGACATCGACGATCAAACAATAATAAACGCGGTTACGGTATAGTTAATTCTCTTATAAATAGNTCTTATAAATAATCTCCCTGTAGAAGTTCATTGGCCAACGTATCAATACCTAGGACCCGGTACGCGATTGGAAAAACGATTGGCTCGTGGCGATCCCGGAAAAAATCCGTTGGATTCAGCAGCTCGTGATCACGATATAGCATACAGCAAATATAAGGATATTAAAAATCGACATAAAGCCGATTACATTTTACAAAACCGAGCTTGGGAACGTGTTAAGGCAAAAGACAGTACGTTCGGAGAAAAAGTAGCGGCATACGCAACTACCAATATAATGAAAGCGAAACGTAAACTCGGAATGGGAATAAATTTCAACTCGATTGTCAGTTCGAGTCGAAAAGCGATGCGTAAAATGAAGGGTAAAAGTGCAAAGAAAGCGAGTATCATTGCACTTGCAGCGGCAAAAAAAACATTCAAAGACTCGGCTCGAAAACCTACTACTCCTCGCACTATAAAAATACCAAAATTTGGTGGAGCGTTACTCTTGATTCCTATTTTCGCTNGCACTATAAAAATACCAAAATTTGGTGGTGCGTTACCCTTGATTCCTATTTTCGCAGGTCTTTCTGCTCTCGGATCGTTAGCCGGTGGTGCTGCAAATATAATCAAAGCGGTGAATGATGTAAGAAAAAATAAAAATGTAAAAAGCTCAGTTAAAATGGGGGGGGGTATGCTTTCAAAAAGAGGATCAGTTTTATATTTGAAACCATTTCAAAAAAACTAATTCATATGCTACCCAGTGATCATCCACTAAACAGCGATGATATTATAAAATATGCGAGATTATTCAAACTGTTTCATTTTCGTAATGTTTTTTCACGAGATAAGTTACCTAAAACACCAAGAAAGTTTGAATGTGCCGTAGTAAATTTGGATGATGATATGGGTAAAGGCACGCACTGGGTAACATATTATAAAAAAAATAAAACTGTATTTTATTTTGATTCGTTTGGTAATTTACCACCGCCTTTAGAATTATGCAACTATTTAAAAGATTGTCGTATAAAATTTAATTTTACTCGTCTACAAGAGTTCGATACGTTTGTGTGTGGACAATTGTGTTTGAAATTTTTACTGGAACAATGCAACGGTCGTTAACGTTATCTTTTCAAGATAATCAGTCTAGAATGATCAGCACTTTTTTTCCACCCATTGAACTAGATGGAACTGCAGAATTAGCACTTTTGAGTTTACAAGCATGCAACTCTAAACCAAACGTTAGTGAAAAAAATAATTATTTTCGTGTTTTAACCGATGCAGACAATCTCGGGAATTCAATGACCATTAATGGATCGTTTATTGATTTATCAATACCGATAGGATCTTACGAACTAGATGATATAGGAAAATATCTCTCGGACGAATTGAAAAAACATAATATTATTTTCAAGTTAAAATCCAATGTGAATACATTGAAATCGGAAATGTTTTGCGATAAAACAATAGATTTCACAGCAAATAATAGCATAGGAGAGTTATTGGGATTCAATAAACGAATGTTTGAAGGTGGTATAGTGCACGAGTCGGATCAAATGGCTAACATTAATCCGTTATCATGTATAAGAATAGAGTGTGATATTGTACATGGCGCATTTGTAAACGGACGCGAGATGTGTTCGATTCACGAGTTTTATCCTTTGGTGTCTCCTGGCTATAAAATTGTAGAATCACCTAATAACCTAATACATTATCCCGTATTGACTAATCAAATAGATAACGTAAAAATTGAAATTAAAGATCAGAACGGTGAACTTGTCGATTTCAGAGGTGAAAGTGTAACAGTTCGTGTTCATATACGTTATGGGAATATAATATAACGTTAAAAGAAAAAGTTTTCTCGACATTGACAACAGTTATGTTTCAAAACTTCCAGGGTTAACAAGAGAAAGCTTGAATACTCTCTTGAACCTTGGTTACACGCTCGCAAAACATTATGGAAGACATTCTGAACATACACGAAAAGCCGTACTTCGAAGAAAGTATAACAAAATTTGAGTATCATTCGTATCAACCATTTTCTAGTAATGCGCTGTCGAATAACGATGAAATACGGATTGCGATACAACATCAAGATTTGTATACTCTTCCCAGTGAATCGCTGCTATACATCGAAGGCGAAATAGAGAAAAGTATGGAAATAGGTGAGAGTGTGTCATTTGTAAAATTAATTAACAACGGTATTATGTTTCTGTTTGATGAAATTCGTTACGAATTAAACTCGGTTGAACTTGATAAAGTAAGAAACCCTGGTATAACAACATGTATGAAAGGTTATGCCTCTTTTCAAACGGCAAACCTTTACCGATATCAAAACGCTGGATGGAATGAAAGTGGTGACAGTAAGTCGAAATTTGAAGTTTGTATACCTCTCAAATTAATCATTGGGTTTGCGGAAGATCATCGTAAAATTATAATCAATTCTCGGCAAGAACTTATATTGCATAGATCCAGCGTGGATATTAACGCATTAAAATGTGAGCGAGCGAATGGTAAAATAAAAATCGCAAAAATAATGTGGAGAATGCCACACATAAACGTAGAAGATAGTGTTAGATTGAAACTTTTGAAGACGTTAGATTCTCGTAAACCACTTTACATCGCTTTTAGAAGTTGGGAGTTATTTGAATATCCATTTTTACCACAAACAACAAAACATTCGTGGGCCGTAAAGACATCTACACATACTGAAAAACCTAGATATGTGATTATAGCGTTTCAAACTAAACGTAAAAACAATATATCTGCAGATATGAGCCGATTCGACCACTGTTCTCTATCATCACTCAAAGTTTTTTTAAATTCAGAATCTTATCCATATGACAGTTTAAATATTGATTTTGATAATGATAAATATTCAGCGTTATATCAAATGTATTCAACATTTCAAGATAGCTTCTATAATATTGAAAATTGTGATCCTATTTTAACTAAAGAAGAATTCAAAGATACCGCTCCTTTGGTTGTCATTGAGTGCTCGAAACAGAATGAAAAAATTAAAAGTGCTCCTGTAGACGTTCGAATTGAATTCGAAACCAAGATTCCTATACCAAACGATACGTCAGCATATTGTCTTATATTACATGATAAAATTTTCGAGTACAACGCAATGACTAGTGAAGTACACAAGGTAGTTTAATCTATGTTATTTAAAATCAACGCATTTACAATGGTAATTGTTATATTATAATTTGTGAAAATTTACAATTGTAATCATTAAATTATTTTTAAATTTTTTAAATAAATAATTATCATTGTAAACAATTTTTTTTATTTTTGTTTTTCAATTTTTTTTCATACTCTTCCATCGCCTTGAGAGTTATTAAATCTACTTCTAATGCTCTTTTTTCATCGTAAAAATCATTGTTCCAACACGCAACGTTTCCTAAATTTATAATTATTATAATTACAAACATTATTTATTATTATTATTATATTTTTTAAATATATGTTTATTACAATGCTCAAATGATTTTTTACTTACGTTTTATTTCTTCGTTATCATTCTTTCAGTCTATTAAAAATATATTAATTGTATTATATTTATATAAATAGAAATATTTTAAGTTTTTACCAAATCATTTTCTATTATTAAACAGTTGATTTGAAAAACCCGTTACAACTTTGAATATCATCAACATCATCGTAAATATTCTCGAAGTGATTTTCCAAAAGATCTGGTTCGTTATCGTTGTTTCTAAAAATTTTTAATTTAATTTAGTTTTATACAATAAACAAACCAAGTAAAGTATTTACCTAATATTTTCATTTGTCAATTGCATAATATCCTGATTGGTTTGATGTATGAAATCCACTATGAATTGTTCCCAAATACGTTTAATAATACATTTATAATCGAAAGTAACGATTTCTTTGTACACCTGCACTTATGTTCATATTGAATATCGCACTAATATACTTCACTAATCACACACGATTAAGACATACGACAACACAATAGGAGTTTTCTTACGTTCGACCTCGATTTATAGATATTTCTGAAGAGGGTGGGGAAGGATTTGAAATATGGTTGGTTGTTTATTCAAAGAAACAGAAATAATAAATCTCATTTGGTGGGAGAAGGGTGAAGGGTAATTTTATCTTTGCAAGTATACGGAGGGAGGTGGTAAAATATGTTATCAAATATAAAATGAGGCGCTAAAATGTTATCAAAATATAAAATGAGGCGCTAAAATACATTTTATCAAAATAGCTTCATTGATAAGCATTACATACACTCTCCTCTAACTATAATGTGATAACAGGTAAATGAGGCGTCAACGAGTGGCGCTAAAATAAGTATATGGGGAGAGGCGGCAAATGAGGCGCTAAAATGAGTATATGGGGAGAGGCGGCCCCATATACACACATCATATATATATTCAATAAATATTCAAGAAAGTTAGTGTAAATAATTAGAAAAACAGCGTTTTTTAAATTTACTATTAGGTGGATAAATGTTAAAATTTATAATTTTTTCAGTTTCCTGAAATTTTTGAAAAATGGAGACAGTTTGTTTTTGCTTATTAATTAAAAGGGTGCTCCAAAACTTTTTTCGGTATCAAAACATGTCTCGGACGATCACAGATTTTGGAGGACTGAGTGGTCGTAGATACATGATCAATATTACAAATTACTACATCTAAAGTATCTACAATATTACTTGGGCGATTTTTTGATAAAAAAAAGCTATAGCCTTTCAAAGTTTACATTTTTTTTCAATGTCAAAACATTCTTTAAAAATGGTTTATCGAAAATCATCCATGTACGGATGTAGATAATTTAGTCATGTGTTAATTTGACATATTGATAATGTCTCTACGACCTCTCATCCTTAGAATCTGCGATTACCCGAGACACATTTGTCTCTTAAATTTTTTTAATTATTTTGTAGCCGAGTCTGTCGCAGGCGGCGGCGACTACGAAAACCGATTTGGCGAAACATAAAATCGTTATCGCACGTGCGGCTACGCAAACAATTATAATATTATTTTGCATTAAATACAGAGGCGTAGCCAATAGGTAGTCCTGGTAGGCCCGGGCCTACCCAGATTTTCTCAACGAACAAATTATATATAATTTGAATTTTTTAATAAAATATTTAAAATTTTTAAATTTGTAATTTTTTTGGAGATTTCCTCCATTCCGGGGAATGAGGGAAATGTTTTTAATTTTTGAGGGTAATGTCTTCGACTTGATACGGATTTGTGATCTTTTGACGTATTGTTCATCAAAATTGGTCCAGTGAGAGCTAAGTTTGAGTGTTTACACACACACACAAAAATAAATAATAAAAAAGCATATCATTGTAATATTAGTACCTTTGCATCGAAACTAAAAATATTTACTGACAATTTGTGAGAACAAATCGAAAATATAGTGTGATTTTTTGCTTATCATTACCACTTAATTATTTCTTTTAAATTTATTGACATAATCACATCTTCCACCTATTTAATATATGTATTGCAACTGCAATATAATAAATTATTGAATATGTATTATTTATATACATATGTTCAGTTATAATTTAATTTTTTTTTTTTTTTCGTAGTTGCTTATTTTATACAGTTAAAAAAATTGTATATAAAATAATACTAGTAAAAATTATTTTTATATTTTAATTGTTTAAGAAATTTTCTTTAGACGAGTCCTTTGCTTTTTGTTATAGGTTTCAGTAACCATACTTATTAGAAAATCTTTGTAATGTTTATATTTAAATTATAGAAAAGGACTTACTACTGGAAGTTTTGGTCTGTTTACAATTATTTCCGTACAATTATTAATGCCATCTAAGAGAGAAAAATAATATAAACTAAAAACTATACTAAGATAATTCATATTTTTATGTAAATCGAACGAATGATTAAGTATAAAGGAAGTGATAGTAAAATTGTTACACTGAAAAATATCATAAAAATATATATTTATGAAATGAAAACTTCGATTTTGATTCGAATTATATATAAAATTACTTTCGATCTAAACATATATAATTGCATATGTATTAAGCAAATAATATGATGTAAAGAATAACAATAATGATTGTAATCATTTTATTTGAAATCATAGTAATTATATTATATATCCGCTAGTGTAACAGCCATTCAATTCCTATTCATTTTATGATAAATGATAGAGATTAAAAGGGCACACTATAGGTCTATATTGGAATATTTGAAATGTGTTTTGTGTTATTTTTGGAAACAGATATTATTTAGGAGAAACTTTTTATCAATAAAAGGGATGCGTTAAATTTAAACTGCTGCAGTATTACGCAGAAAAATATAGAGGTACTTTGTGCCCTTTTAATCTCTATCATTTATCATAAAATGAATAGGAATTGAATCGTTGTTTCACTAGCGGATATATAATATAATTACTATGATTTCAAATAAAATGATTACAATCATTATTGTTATTCTTTACATCATATTATTTGCTTAATACATATGCAATTATATATGTTTAGATCGAAAGTAATTTTATATATAATTCGAATCAAAATCGAAGTTTTCATTTCATAAATATATATTTTTATGATATTTTTCAGTGTAACAATTTTACTATCACAATTTTACATCATTTCTATGGCTTTTCTAATTTGTGCATTTCTATGACTTCTATCATTTTCTTGTATTCTATGACTTCGTATATTTTGGATATTTTTATGGTCTCTTCAATTTTAAACACTATTGCAACTTCTTTAACTTTTTGTATTTCTGAATTTCTATGGCTTTTTAAGTTTCTTAGTACAGTCAACATATTAAGGATATCAATTACTGATCAACATAAAAATCATTATTATAAGAAAAATATACTTTTATATTCGATTATGAGTTGTAAGTTGAAACATTGAATAAAGTAAATTATGACATAAACATACGCTGGTATAAAAGCATTAAGTAAAAATATATTGCATACATATAGCGACTATATGTTTGCACATGGTTTATAAACATGCCAAGCTCATTTAGTTAAGCAATTTTTATGTCTAGTGTAATAGACAATGCTATTTAGATCTTACTTATAAAAAAGGATAATCTTTGTTCTTCAAATTTTTAAAATATGTGTTCCAAACATTTTTTAAAACATATTTCAGTGTTGTTCATGCATTTATATTGGGTTAAAAATATGCATTATCATTCAAACATCAAAATTTTTTACTAAACTACAACATTGGCGTTGAACTTAAATATAATAATTATTTCAATAAAATTATTAGAAAAATACGGCTTACATAGAAAATTTTCTTTTTCTTTTTATAATTTAAGATTTTTAAAGATAATACTTAATATTATCTATAAATATAATCTATCAAATTTTGATAGATTAAAAGATTATATTAAATCAAATATTTTTTACTCGAAATAGCAAAATAATTACAAAGTTTATTTAATTTAGTAATTTTACAATTTATGTCGTAATATTTATTTATTAAGCGTCAAATAAAGAGTTAGCCATTTAGGAATAATTTTTTTCCTTACAAAATAATTATTTTCAATACGTAAGACCATTACAAAAAAATTGGAGTAAAAATTATTAGATTAATTATTCAAATTCAATAAAATAAACTATAAACCTTATTTTATGAAAATAGTTAAAATTGTATTCCTTTAGAGCTACGTTGAACTTTTAGCTTAAATCAAATTTTCTTCTTGTCATTACTCAATATTGATTAATAAAGGCATTCTATTGTAAGGTGACGACTTGGACCACTCTACGGGTTGTGGAGTTGCCACTACCATGGCTCCCTTGCAATAAGGAAATTCGAGTCGCCAATCACTTATGCGAGGGACTTGATTATAAAAAAATAAACACCCGGACAATAAGTAGATTTAAAAAAAAAAACAAAGAATATCAAATTAAATAATATACATTATGATGAAATAAAGCGTATCAATGAATAAAAATAATATATATATACTAAAATATAAAGTGCTGTTGTAGACTATAATATACTGATACCTTGTAAATAAAACAAAATATATTTTATTTTATGTCACTAGTGGTAGATATACATTAGTATGTCAAAGACCGTTACCTTAAAACTAGGGAGAATTATTCCAGGTAAAAAAAAAAAATAAAATTGAAGGTAATCACGCAATAAAAGGATTTTTGTTTATTAAGATTATTAAG